AGAGAGAGAGAGAGAAAGATTGAGAGAGAGCTTCATTCTTTAGCTCTTTTACATCAAAGAGAGAGAAAGAGTTCATCTTGTCCTTTTTCCTCTTCGGAGGGCCAGCCTTTGCGAAACAATGGAAGCGGAGGAATCTACAATCGAAGAAGATGACCCTTGAGTGGGAGGAATAGGAATTTGGGTTGCCAAGGACTCAAAGGGATTGGTGCATGCCAAACTTGTGTCATGACCTGGAAATATAGTGGGACGTGTAGTCCTTGGTAATAGAGCACTCTGACGAGCCTCATCATCTACATCAAGGCGGTCGCTTAATTCTTCTAATGCCCCAACATCGTCCTCGAGGTGGTCATCGTTAGGATGAAAATCCCAACATTTGTACTTCTCTGTATAGTGTCTACATAACAACCTGTCATTGTAGTGGGCATAAATCAATGACTCGGAGCGTTGAGCATTTAACCTGTTCCGCTTAACACTCTGAATGTATATATGTACTCTAGCACCTCTCAACACATGACGAGTTGACACTCTGAGACAACACCTTAACAGCTAGTGAAGACAATTCAAGAACCCCACCACCATATAGATCCCACCACGAAACATTTGAAATTGTTTCTGTCGGAAATCGATGCCGTGAGTGAAAAAACTCTTTTATTACTTACAAAATCACTGATATGTTGTCGTATTCTACCCCTCATTCTTGTCTGGGTATAACCTCTCAAGCTCGGCAAGATAAAACGCTGATACTTCTTTATAGTGGTGCGGCTTATCCTCTTCTCCCCACCAGGAGTTGGCAACCATTCCTGAGAGTGATACTTGGGACTTAAAACATATGCCAAACAATGCATTGGAAGATTGGTCTGATCCCATCTATCAATAACTAACTTATGCACTTTTTGGTACAAAATAGGATCATCATAAAGGGCCACTGCAATTTCACCCAACATTGTATCCATGCGCTCGTATGCATCCCCAATCATAGCCATGTCAGTGTTAGCGACCTTCATCATCTTCCATATTAGCCTGGTAAATCGAAATATGTTTTTGTTCGTTAACAATTATCATCCATAATTATACGATGCACCTCAGCATGATCAATAGCTCCTACAACCTATCTGAGACCCTCCCACTCTTCACTTAAAACCAAGGATGTCAAAGCACCCTCAATTCCATAAGACACCTCAACATTATGTAATGGAACCCAAATCTGGTTTTCTTAACCATAAGGACTTCAAGATTTGAAAAATCCCTAAATATATATGGACATTTGGTGTGATTGCGAATATATTTTACCACTTTCTTGCCATCCTGGTAATGACTCCGCACAAAACTAATAGCTGGGTTCGTCTTATTTTTGTCAACGATGTCTTTCATGAGGAGGTGCATAATGTGTGCTAAGCATCTAGAGCAAAAAATGTGTGGATGGCGGCGTTCGATAATTGTCCATGCACCTTTGCAATTTGCAGCATTATTGGTAACCACTTGAATTACATTTTAGGGTCCAATAGAGTCTATCACTTTCAAAAGAATACCAACGATGTTTGGACTAGTCTTCTCAATGGAAGAGCAATTATGTCCATTGAGGAAGATTGCCTTCCCCCCAGAAACTACTAAAACATTAATCAAAGACTCATTTTTTACGTTGCTTCATCTATCTGATATAATTGAAACTCCGTAAGTTGTCCAATCATTCCTTAAGGGAGCCAATGCTCTCTCTATTTTGCTCCTCTCCTTATCCAACAAAGATGTCCTAATCCTATCATTTTTAAGAAGTCATGTAGCCTGTTGGCCCATTATTTATAACATAGACCATTTCATTTCATGAAATCTAGGGCCATTGGCGACGTTGAATGGGATGCCATGAGTATAGAAAAAGCGTGCTACTGCAGCATCAACTTCTCTCTCTTGTGCATTATAGATATGAGAAATTTTTTCCTTTTCCGTGGATCGTGGTTTCATGAGGAATAAGGAGGTATGGGAGAGAATGGAGTTTTCTGCTTCTTTGCCTTCCCATACAACCTAACTGCCTCTTCCTCTTCTTGTTTCAAACCCTCCCTTTCTTCTTTTGACCCTTTAGAACTTTGTAATTCCCTGAGATGCTCGCCCCGGGAACACGCCCAATGAATAGGTTTGCACGAGCTTACAAGCAAGTATATGGAGCTTCTTTGCAATTGAAATTGCAGGTCCACTTCCTAGCCGCTCTGCCACTTTTTTTTGGTTTCTCACCCACCCTTGTAACATATCTCCATAAGGGAGTGGTTGTGACCTCTTCAACATCATCGGCATGATCAAAATCAAAATACAGGTTTTTCAAATTTGTTTGCCATTCCTGCCATTATCATTTAACATAAAACATTAATTTTTTTGATGTAAAAATTTATGTAAAAATTACTTTCTCTCTCCCACGCCCTCTCTTAATAAAAAAAAATCTCCATATTTCTCCCCCACACCTTCTCTTAATAAGATATACAAAAAACTCTCCATATTTCTCTCCCACGCCTTCTCTCTCTCTCACTCACTCATGCACTCACTCACTTTCTCTATCTCTCTCTCACCTGGCTCACTCTCTTTCTAACAATTCCTACACTCTCTTCTGCTTTCTCTCTCAATCCCTATACTCTTTCACTCTCTCTTTCTAGGAAATAGAGTCTCTCACACTTGCTTTCTGCACCAATTCCGCCAAGCTCTCTCTCTCTCACATGACTACCTCTCTCTTCCCATGCCTAATTATATCTCTTGCACTCGCTTTCTCTCCCAATTGCGCCAAACTCTCTCTCTCTCGCGTGACTCTCTCTCTCCCCACGCCTACAATATCAGCTATCTTTATCAGACACTCCTCTCTCTAGCAATTTCACTTCTCTCCCATCGACAAGAAAAAAAGAAGCAATCATACATCAATCTTAATACTTAAACCGATAATGAAACACATTCATTTACGTAGTTTTTTTAACCTAAAGTTTTACACATTAATAAAAAGAGAGAGAGGAATAAACTTTTCCTGTGAGACAATGAGAGTGAGTGAGAGACAATTTCCCGATCTCTCTCTCTCAATTAATCCATGAAACTCTTTACAGTTACAAATTTTTTTTAAAAGTATTGGGAAAAGTTCTTCGATTTGTCACTTTTAATCTTCATAGCCTTTTAGTTTGTAGTATCTTGTATTACAAATTGAAGAACTTCAACAAATAAAATTTCCGCCCAAAATTTGTTTTTGATTCAATTGATCCAAGAAAAGCCACGGATGTGGCTGAAAAATGTTGTTTATGTGGTTTAATACCCCCAAACCCTTTCCCCCCGTTTTCAAAGGTCAAAATGACCTTATTGTCCCCTACTGAAGGGTATAGTTTTGAAAAAAAATGGCGGACAGAATAATGCGGCTTGATGCGGAGGATGATGCTCTGATGTGGGCGCATCTCTCCAAACCGCATATGCGGGAAAGTGCGATGCGCTGGGTGGCGCATAGAGCCTGGTGCGGCCCTATTTTAAAACGCTGATATAACCTATGTTGCCACATAAATTTGTAGAATTTAAAAGTATACGAGGTCTATCAATTTATGAAAGAAGTTACTGATCTTCTTCTGCCTTCATTGCAGGTTTGTGACAGGTTTATAAACCGTAGGCTTGTCCAAAAGTTCTATGACAGGATTCTCACTATTGGCCTTGTGGGTTATGCGCAACTGTAAGTTTCAGAAACCTTCTTGTCCAACTAGTTGTGCTATATGCATCAAGATAATTCAAGAATATGCTCCGATAATGTAAATGAATGACATTTTGCACAACTAGATATTTGCATTTGAAGGTGCTTATATCATATGCCATTGCTTTCGTTTTGGTGACAAGTTTCTTCATGTTCTTCTTGTAGACATCAGCCCATTCTTTCAAGGCTGGCTGACTGGGAATGCATTGCAAAGGTTTGCTTCCTTCATAAATGTTGCTTTCTTTGTTGATAGACATGTTATAAGTTTTGTTTATTCTCTCAGTTCCATATAATATTTCAGTCTCTTTTGTGGTAAAGATCATAGGCACCTAATTTTATCATCATCATTTGAGCCTTATCCCAACTAGTTGGAGTCGGCTACACAAATCCTATTCCACCATTCTACCCAATCAACGGGTCATACCCACAGTAGGACCATAATTCACCATATATTTTTTCACGGCTTCCATCCATATCCTTATAGACTTTCTCCTTGTCCTTTGAGAGCTTTCCACTTGAACCAAATCGCACCTCCCAACTGGTGTTGAATTAAGCCTGCACTGCACATGGCCAGCCCCCCTAAGTCTACTTTATCTCATCTTATCGCGCCTATTGAAACCACACCTAAATTCCCTCAAATATATTCATTTAGAATTCTATCTTTACTTGGCTTGCCACTCATCCATCTCAACTTCACTCATCCTAATTTATATGATGAATTTTTGAAGTTTGAAAGGTTTTGCGTGAAATGTTGCATGGTAATTAAGAAAGTCCAAACCCTGAACAGTGAACTCTTGATCAAAATGTCATCTCTAACTCTGATCCTGTTGGTTGTGTGATGGTCACTTAGTTTTAATGTAAAAACGGTTATTTTGTTGTTCGGTTGGATGATCTATTTTATGTGATCTTTGTTTAGCCACTTCGTATCAGGATTAGATATTCTTGCGCTTAATGTCATTGGTGTACATGACGAGCAACGCAGGTAGTTAAGAAATATCATGAATTACTCTTTGCGAGCTTGGGCTTTCATACCTTCATCCAATTCACCACTTGTTTGATGCTTTTCCGTTTGTTTTCTTGCTCAATTTGACTCCATAATTTTGTAGAGCAACTTGCCATGGTCATTTTGCAACAAATTTGGATCAAGAACTCTAAGATTTGAATGAGTTATAATCATTTTTTTGCATTTGGCATCAAATTTAAAAAGAATCCAAGACATGCAAGCATTGAGGAAATTGTCAGGGACCACAATGATAAGACGCGTATGACTCAAGGCCTTTTCATATATGTGCTTCCAATGAAGTTGTGATCGAGGTTATGCTCATTGGACTCAAGATATGTGATGCTTAAATGGAAGAAAATACTCGCAGATGGAGACTAGGTTAGTGCAGGCATTTGGGGCAGCACCAAGGAGTGTTCATGGCACCCATTCAATATCCTTAATGAAATCTACAACCTAACTAAAAACATAAAGGGGGTTCCTTTCCATTCCTCGAGAAGGGAAACTAAGTAGAGATGAACTCTTTAGCGAGGGAGGGAGTTCCAAAAAGTGTTTGATACTAACAAATTTTGATGTATAAAATAGATTCTTGAGTCTATTGCAGTAGACTCCAATTTTGTAAATAGAAGTGTTGCATTTACATTTTGATTTTTTGATACCCTAACCCTTAAATAATGATAGTATTCTAATTTTCCTATTTCATGAGTAAAATTATACCAGTGAAAAAACAGAAACGATTTTGAGTTAGATATCTTATGTTTTTCTCCAAATTTTCCTGAATGGAATTTTTAATGTTTGTAATGAGCTAAAACATGAGCCGCCAGTACATTGAAAAGTATCAATTATTGAATTTTTAGTAGGAGGCATCATATGAAAGAAAAATAAAAAATAAAAGAAATATTTAGTGGATTGTATGGTTAACAAGCAACAATTAGGCCTCACACTACTGCTAAAAAATGCAATAAATATCTAACTTCTTTATTGGCAATAAGCAGTGAAAGATAGGTATTGAGTTGAAATAATGCATTATTGCCCATATTTGGATATCTCAAATCAAATTTTGGATTTCATATTGTCACAAGTTGATGGTTCCCCCCCTCCCCCCCTTGATAGGCTCTTGCATACATGTCAAAGCATGATAGGCTCTTCCTATAGAATAACATGGGTGTGCTTTTTTTGTGTGTTTGTTTTTTTGTTGGGGTGTGGGAATTTTTGGTGTTCCACAGGAGCACCAAAAAGTATATATTCCTTCATCCCCGTCCATCTCCTTTTTATGGGGAGGGAGGGAGGGAGGGAGATGCTGCACAGTAACCAAGAAAATCCAAACCTTGAGCACCCAACTCTTAATCAAAATGTCATCTCTAATTCCAATCGTATTGGTTGAGTGATAGGCACTTGGTTTTAATGCAAGAATGGTTGTTTGACTGTTCAGTTTCGTTATCTATTTTATGCAATCTCAATTTAGCCACTTTTTACCTATCTTAGGCTTAGAAATTATTGCTTTTAATGTCATTGGTGTACATGAAGAGCAACTTAGGTGTTTGAAAAGATTATATTGAATTACCCTTAGAGAGGTTGGGCTCTCATGCCTTCATCCAATTCACCACTTGTTTGGTGCATTTTACTTCAATTTTTTCTCAATTTAATACCATAATTTCGTAGAGCAACTTGCCATGATCATTTTGCAACAAATTTGGATAAACAACTCCAAGATTTGAAGGAGTTATGATCATTTTTATGCATTTGGATTTTACTTATGAAAAAAGCAAATTAGAATATTATCATCATTTAAGGGTTTTCAATTAACAGAATGACTTGCCAATACAAGTCAAACTGATAACATTTTTTCTATTGTTTAATGTATGTCATTTATCAGAAAATCAAAATGTAAATGTATCATTTCCATTTGCAAAATTGGAGTCTACTGCAACAGACTCAAGAATCTATTTTATACATCAAAATTTATTACTATCAAGCACTTTTTAGAATTCTCTCACCAGCTAAAGAGTCTGTCTTTACTTCCCTCCTTGAGGAATGGAAAGCAACCTCTCTGTCTTTAGTTAGGTTATAAATTTCATCAAGGATATTGCATAGGTGCCATCGGCATGCCTCCTTGGTGCAGCCCCAAGTACATGCCCTAACCCACTCTCCATCTGCAATTATTTTCTTATATTTAAGCACCACACATAGTGAGTTCAATAATCATATCCCCTGCCACAGCTTCATTGGAAGCATATATATGAAATGGCCCTGAATAGCACATAGGCGTCTTACAATTAGGTTCCCTTACAATTTCTCCATACCTGCATGTCTTGGATTCTTCTAAAATTTGATGCTAAATGCATAAAAATGATCATAACTCCTTAAAATCTTGGAGTTCTTTATCCAAGTTTATTGCAAAATGATCATGGCAAGTTGCTCTATGAAGTTATGGAGTTAAATTGACTAAATTGAAGTAAAAAGCACCAAACAAGTGGTGAATTGGATGAAGGTATGAGAGCCCATGCTCTCTAAGGGTAATTCATTATAATCTTTTCAAATGCCTAAGTTGCTCTTCATGTACACCAATAACTTTAAAAGCAATAATTTCTAAGCCTAAGAGGGGTAAAAAGTGACTAAATTAAGATTGCATAAAATAGACAACGAAACTGAACAGTCAAACAACCATTCTGGCATTAAAACCAAGTGACTATCAATCAACCAATACGATCGGAATTAGAAATGACATTTTGATCAAGAGTTGGGTGCTCAAGGTTTGGATTTTCTTGGTTACTGTGCAGCATCTCCCTCCCTCCCTCCCCATAAATAGGAGATGGACGGGGGTGAAGGAATACATACTTTCTGGTGCTCTTGTGGAACACCAAAAATTCCCACACCCCAACAAAAAAACAAACACACAAAAATAGCACACCTATGTGATTCTGTTGCAAGAGCCTATCATGCTTTGACATGTATGCAAGAACATATAAAGGGAAAAAAAGAAACCATCAACTTGTGACAATATGAAATCCAAATTTTGATTTGAGATATCCAATTATGGGCAATAATGCATTATTTCAATTCAATACCTATCTTTCACTGCTTATTGTCAACAAAGAATTTAGATATTTACTGTATTTTTGAGCAGTAGTGTGAGGCCTACTTGTTGCTTGTTAACCATACAATCCACTAAATTTTTCTTTTATTTTTTATTTTTATTTCATATGATGCTTCCTACTAATTCAATAATTGATACTTTGCAATGTATTGGTGGTTCATGTTTTAGCTCATTACAGACATTAAAAATTCCATTAAGGAAAATTTGGAGAGAAACATAAGATATCTAACTCAAAATCGTTTCTATTTTTTCACTGATATAATTTTACTTATGAAATAGGAAAATTAGAATACTATCATTATTTAAGGGTTAGGGTATCAAAAAATCGAAATGTAAATGCAACACTTCTATTTACAAAATTGGAGTCTATTGCAATAGACTCAAGAATCTATTTTATATATCAAAAGTTGTTACAATCAACCACTTTTTGGAACTCCCTCCCTAGCTAAAGAGTCCATCTCTACTTAGTTTCCCTCATCGAGGAATGGAAAGGAAACCCCTTTATGGTTTTAGTTAGGTTGTAGATTTCATCAAGGATATTGAATGGGTGCCATGAACATGCCTTCTTGGTGCTGCCCCAAATGCCTGCACTAACCTAGTCTCCATCTACAATTATTTTCTTCCATTTAAGCACCACATATCTTGAGTCCAATGAGCATAGCCTCGATCACAGCTTCATTGGAAGCACATATATGAAAAGGCCTTGAGTCATAAGCATCTTATCATTGTGGTCCCTTACAATTTCCTCAATGCCTGCATGTCTTGGATTCTTTCTAAATTTGATACCAAATGCACAAAAATGATTATAACTCATTCAAATCTTAGAGTTCTTGATCCAAATTTGTTGCAAAATGATCATGGCAAGTTGCTCTACAAAATTATGGAGTTAAATTGAGCAAAACAACGAACGAAATTTTTCTCTCCTAATATAAGATTTCTCTCCAAATTTTCCTTAATGGAATTTTTAAAATGTTTGTAGATGAGGTAAAACATGAGCCGTCAATTCTTTCAGAAGTATCAATTATTGATTGTTTAGAAGAAATCATCACAGAAAATAAAAATAAAAGAAAAATCTAGTGGATGGTTAACAAACAAGTAGGCCTCATTCTACTACTAAAAAAATGAAACAGTAATTATCTAGCCTCTTTTGTTGACAATAAGCAGGGAAAGATAGGTATTGAGTTTAAATCATGCATTATTATCTCAAATTAAATTTCGGATTTCATATTGTCACAAGTTAATGGGTTTTTTTTTTTCCCTTCTCTCTCTTGATTTGCTCTTGCATACACATGTCAAAGCATAATAGGCTCTTGCAATGGATTGGGCAAATTGATCTTATACTATCGCTCAGTTATATCTGTACTGGAGGATAATAGTGTTCTATTGTCTTCCAATTATGACTCAGTAATTTTGTCCGTGCATTTAGTACAGTAATGAAATTTTACTTCTTCCTGTATACATATTCACATAAAGTCCATTAGTCATGATTGCGGTTATGATTATTTCTGTTGAGGTTGGCAACAGTAATAAGTTCCCGAATTGGTCTCTCATATTTTGTGTCTTAATTACATTTAATGGTACTGGATGAGTCTGTAGATTGTGGCACACCTGAATTTTCTCCCTTGATTTATCTGCAATGGATTGTGCTTGCTTTCAATATATAGGAAATATATAAAGTTTAACTTCTTGTCGGATATTATTTGACATTGTTTTATCATCTGACAGTCACGTTCTGTCCGGGATTTCGATAATCATGTTACATGTCTTGTTGGGAAATTTGAGGTATCGAGCACAAGAAGCTACCTTTTGTTCAGTGCTTTCTCCTTCCTCTTTACTTCAAGTTTTTAAGAAAGGACTTTGCTTACTCAGACTGTAGATACATATTATCGGCGTTGTAGCAGTGTTAATTATATCGGTAATGTATCCGTTCCATTGCTATGTATTAGTGCTTTGGATGATCCAGTTTGCACAATGGAAGCCATTCCTTGGGATGAGTGCAGGTATTAGATAAGTTTTCCAGATTATATCATATAAGACGCCCACCTTTTTAGTGAGTTTATACCCCTGTTTAACTTCTAGCTGCAAATTTGGTTGATTGAATTTGTGTCATATGCAGGGCAAACAAGAACATTGTTTTGGCTACTACAACACATGGAGGGCATCTTGCATATTTTGAAGGACTAACTGCAAAGAGTGTCTGGTATGCCATTCTCCTGTTATTTGACTGGAGCCAACGGTGCATTTGATTTTTGGAAGTTTTTGGAAGTGGGAGAATGTCTCAATAGCTTTCACTTCCGTGTTTGAATGCACCTTGTGAAAGCTATGAAGTGGAAGTGCGGCATTCCATGCCTCTTTCTTTTAACGTCAAAATGGGGCAATTTTTTTTGAAGCCTCCCCATCCATCGTAAATGATGGAAGGGGTGTCTTCCACATTGCATGAAAGTGGGACGCGTTCCAAGTCCCAGTTCCACACTCTCCAAGTTTCCAAAGGCTCCCTTAGTGTTGAGATTCTTAATGCTTTAAACTAGAAATCATTCTTGAAACTGATGCCCTTTGTTACGTTACGTCCTTATTATCGTTCTCATTTTCATAACACGTCTGGGCTCTTCCTTGCACTACAGGTGGGTAGGAGCTGTTGAAGAGTTTCTTTGTGCTCTACACTCTAGCCCATTCAAGCATAAGCAGAAAAAGGTACCATTATATTCCCCTCAATTGTCTGTGATGATAATTGGAATTATGTTGAAGCTAAACTGTTTTCTGATGTGGTTTTAAGTCCTCATGGTATCTTAATGCTACAAAAGCAGAATGTTGTGCCATGCTCTGCACTCGAGTCTTTGGTTGATAAGGGTCCATATGTAAACATTTTGGAAGATGGAATGGTAGCTGCCGTGGCCAACAGTTCTACAAACAATGATTTCATGGAGGCAGCCTCTGAAAATAACCAGTTGGTTCAAGACCCAATAGCCGAAAAGAATAATGGAGACTCAAACAACAAGGTAGGTGGAGAGACCCGATCAAGTGCTGAATTGGTTCAAGAAGTCTCTGAGTCTTCCAGTGAAAAACCCGAGCACCATGCTAATACAATGGATCGCAATGATGTGATGGGCCCCATTAAACGTAGTATAAACCAGCTGTCTCGTAACAATAGAAAATCAATGTGGGTGCTTGTGTATATAGCCATTGTAACTACATGGCCACTGGTTGGTTCAGCTCTTATCATACTAGCTAGAAAGAAGCTCAGAAATGTGATACCAGCTTCTTGGTTTGAGAGGTGATATTACACAGCGTGATCTTGTTTACTATTTTCATGTAAAGACAGAATAAATCATTGGCATAGATATAATGACATTTCTATGTGAGATCATTACAGAGGTGACAGCTCCAGAGCCACCTTAGTTTTTCCATTAAGGTATACAGAATTTACATGAAAAGCCTCGTTCCTGGAGATCAAACTAGGAACTCTACAAAATTATTATTGAATATCAGAAGTTACAAGCTTTTAGGTATTTCTGGTACTAAGTTTCTCTCTTTTTGTCTTTTTCCTTTTGTTTTGCAAAATTTGTGAAAATACATCTAGGAGATTTAACTATTGAACATTTTACTCATGTTTTGAATTAATTCGAAAATACTCATCAAGATACACTTGATTTTGATTTAGAATGGTAAATAAAGGGTAAAATGTTAAATAGTTAATACACGAGGTTTATTTTGATAAATTTTCACCGCCTGCCTTCGTTTTTCTTATGGTAACTTAGAATTATATATTAATCATCTTTGACTTTTCAGGTGAACCAAAATATAGTCAGGAATAAATTTCCAATAGCAAAATCATGAATCAAATGTAGTTACTTACGAAGCTGTATGGCTAACTCCTTGGCCAATATCAACAGCTAACAGCGTCTCTATAAACATGCGTGGATCCCATCTGCACTCCGAGTTTGTGTAACCGGGTGAGGTACCACCACATGGCTCTTAAAAAGTTTGTAGAACTGTTGCTCTATGATTTCTCACAATCACATTGGTGCTTGCTTTCCTCGGTTTACCATGAAGTGTTTACATAAAAATTTCAATGCTTCCTGAAGGTGGGGGTGTCTAGCTATTAGGGGTTTCATTATTACAATCCGATTGTAAGGCCCCTGCCCAAATGTTTCTCACACAGAAATAAGTGGTTGTAGAACTCATGTTTTTAACACGAGAAAAACATTTGTCAAAATAAGACCGCTCTTCGTCACATTAACCTCACTAAGTAATTTACCCTGACACAGTTGCTAGGCACATGCTTGTGCCTTAAGGGCATTGGGATGTTTCATACCATGGGCAAAACTTGATTAAAGGTCTCTATCTATCTAAGAACAAGAGAGAAAACGAAAACAAAAGATGCTTGAATTATTAATCCAAATACCTTGGTTTTCTTTCCAGAGCACATCTACTATGCTCCCTTAGGAGAGAGTGTTTACTCCTACTCCATCAGTTGGAGCGTTGGGTTTTTTCAATTTGAAAATTTGGGAATTACTCGAGAATTGATAGATGATTATTCTGGAAAAAAAAATTGAATTTCAATTTCCCTTAAGTTAGATCTCACCATCAAAAAATTGGATGGTCTCTATTTATTCTTGAGACATTATTTTTTCAAGTGCATGAAGGGTACAATTAGGATTTTTTTTTTATTGCAGTTAATGGATTGAAGAAGTTACATCCCCAAAATTTAGGGTACTAAAATTAATTCTAGGTGGCGTCATACCAAAAAGAGTAAATTGACACTACTGCCGAGGTAGTAAAATATATGTTGGCTTCTTTATATAGAGAGTGGTGTGGTATCTCTACTGTACCTGAACCATTAGGTTGGTGAACTAAGCCATAGAGTGTTCTGACACCCCTCTATATATTCATTCAATTGACCAAGATACACTGTCCCTCTGTCCCAAAACTAAATCACTAACTTCAGCAAATACATCTAGGAGGACAAAGTGAAGGGTTTGTCCCCCAACTATTTATCTTTCCTGTAGACATCCTACTATTCCTAAGGAATAATGATTTACACTTATCTATTTTTTCTGTAAGACTTCTTATTAGAGATGATCCCATATCAGACCCATACTTTGCAATAGCTACCTTCCTCCATGATCAATTTGGTTCACTAGTATACCTCCACTACCACTTAAGTAAACCAACTCTGGTCATCAATTCCAGTCTTCTTATCCTTAGGCCGCAATCCTTTTGTGGATCGGATCACACATCTTGTCCGACTGTATGAGATGTAAAATGTTTACTCCTTCCTAATTTCCCAACAAGAATGATCTCATTAGACATTCCCATGTTTTGACTGCCTACTGGTATATCCTGAATGGTACATGCAATATATATCTAAATTAGATAGTGTAGATTTAATTACCATTATCCTCCTTCCAAATGAAGTATTTGGTCTTCCGGAGGCCAAGCTTCTTTTGAAACATCTCTATAACAGGATCCTATGTTGAGGTTGGAGGTGCCTTTGAACCGAGGTTAGGCAAAGTATTTACAAGTATAGAAACTATCCTACAGACGGTGATTGCAACAAGGTGTTCCATTGTCATTTTCACGCCCAATCCAATCCTTGTGAGCCTTGTTTTGTCCAAATTTAATCTCATACTTTGGCAATATCGGTAAGTTCCGTAATTCAAACTCCTCTGCCAGTAATAACAAGATCAAGCATTTGTTGGAGGTAATTCAGCAGGACCACAACTACTTGGTGTATAAGACTACCAATGGGAATGATGCCCTCCAATGTTTCTATAGAGTCCTTGGCACTTGCGCTATGAAGGTAGTGTTCATTGCAAAAATATACTTTTCCCCTCCAATGGAATTCTTCAAATAATGTGAATGCACCTTCTTGGATGACTTCCGAAAGTATCTGAAAAAAGGCTATTAGAAAGCCATCTATCTAGTCTATGGGCTCTATCACGAGCCATTCTAAGTACTGCTGCCCTAATTTCTTCCCTATTGAGAGCTCTCTCAATCCATTTAGCCTTTTCAACAAGAGGAAATTAAAAATCTACTTGTGCCATGGAGTTTTAAACCTTTGCTCAGCAATACAGGATTTCTTGAAATTTTCGACAATAGCCTCTTCAATTGCATCCATGTTTTCACAATCCACCCCTAGGAGTGGGCTTTGTATATTGTTTACCCGCCTTTGAGCCAGCAATACTATGAAGGAAACTAGAGTTTTATCACTCTACTTGAGCTAGTAGATCTTGGATCCTTGGAGCTAATATGCTTCCTCAAGCTAAAGGCTATGTAACTCTTAAGTGCTACCTTTTCTTGAAGGAGGCATACTCAAGTCTGGTCCATTTTGATCGGTATTGTCTAGGGCTCCAATGTGCCTTGAAAGCTCTGATAGTCAGTAAGTAGATATCTTAACGACTGAACCCATTCAAAGGCTATCAAAACATCTCCATACCATCCCAAACTATGGGACTTGTATTCTTAGGGCCATTATATTCATCTCCACAATATTGGAGAAATTTGGGTAATTGTTATGTCTTGAGAAACTCTAGTTCGTCAAGAAGGGTTTGACGACCGAATTATTTGAAGTGTCATCAAATCATATTGAGATGAGTTGAAGCTTTGCAGATATCCATGTTAAGGCTTTATATGCCTCTAGTCCAAGAATTATAAAAAATGGACATATTTTGATGCATCTCATGATCCACTCATTGTCAGTATGTGCCCTGATCAACGGACCCCCTCATGATACTTAGGGGATAGATGTGAAATCTGTGAGATGATCATATTTGAGGTGTATTAATCACCTTCCCAAAGTCATCGATCCCCTCATGATACTGGGAGGATAGATGTGAAATCTTTGGAATGATCATATTTGAGGTGTACTAATCATCTTCCTAAAGTTTCTGTTCATTTGGAGATGTCTTCTCAAAGTTTCTGTTCATTTGGAGATGATTTGGCCCCTCATCGGAAGTCAAGGCTTATGTCCATTGACTATTAGGCACATATACAGTAGCCAAGATGACTGCAGTCACAAAAGTAGAGATTTCTCCCAATCTAGAAAAAAAAATTCTCATGGGACTTAAACTATTACATTCTTAAATCTCCCTATCAACCATAGGAGGGTGGCATTCCAAGAATCTCCCATGTGAAAGCGGATGAAGTTGAAATAATGTTCATCAAACAGTCTCAGAGTTTAACACCCAGAGCCTCCTATCTCTCGAAATATACGAGTTTCTGCACCAATATTTGTGAAAGATGTTCCCTATACGCTCCCATATAAGATCGCTAATATACTTTTACGTTGTAAAAGTTGTTTAAAACTGCAACGGCCTGATCTGTTGCCCAAATCTGTGGTAGAAAATCATCAACTTCGATTGGGCATGTCACCCTCTTTCTTGATTCATTTGATTTGAAGTGAGACTTGCGCTATTGGATTCCTCTCTAAGTCGTCTATCCCCGTGCCAAGTTTCAGGTGTAAAGGACTCTCCATCAAAAAGCAACATTAGTTGAAGTGAGAAATGCTAAGACAGTTAGATTGGATTTACCAATGGAGTCAGCAGAAATTGCCAAATCCCTATATTTGCTTATGACAAGATCATATCAAAATGGGGTAGCTATGAGGTTGAATACAAATTTGATTGAAAGGAAGACTATTTAAAGAAGATTTTAATTTAAATTAGATTGAACTTTATCTCGTGCAACCAATATGAGAGAGAGCAGCTCGAACCATTCAATCTTTGGATAAACCCATGGAAACTTCAAGTTTATCAACAAGAAACCAATATATAAGTTTCTCTTATGCAATAAAGAAGAGGGAGTGATCTGTGTGGTTCTTACACGCACCATACAATACAGTAGAGAGAGTGACTACCTACTCTTAGAACTTTATCGCATGTCTAGAGGGAGTAAACCTCATTAGTATTGTTGTCTCTGCAGCATGTGGATCTATAAAGAGAGAAAGAAAAATAAGACTCCCGAAAGGTTCATATTTAAAGAGGAGCGAAGAAGTGCATGTAGAAGGTATATCGCCACATACGCCCCTCGGGGTTCTTTCAAATTGTACATCATAAGAGACTTGACAGCTTCCACTTTATGATCTAGCTATTCCGAGTTAAGACTCAAATAAAAATAAAAGAAAACTTAAAAGCAAGTATTCAAAAAAATAAAAAAAGGTTTTCAAGGCTTTTTAAAAAGATAAGTGTTCATTCCTGACGGCGGTGAAGCATGAGATGGACTTCAAACACAAACAGTGGTAGATCATGGGCTCTGTCAAATTGTGATCCACGAGAGAGACTAGCTGGTGGACCGTTCCCTCATGGACCACCCGCAATGTTGACATGTCAAGTGACTAAACTGAAAATCAGCGGCAAGAGAGAGAAGTTTTGAAACAAAAGGGGAGAGATTTAGATAAGGTGTGCGT